AATAAGGTCGCACAGGAGCATCCCGAGGAGGCGGTGGTGCTGGATATGGGGTCATGCTGGACTGCCCTCTCACGAACTGACCTCTACCCCCATACGGGCACCTCTAAACTCTCCAGAATATCTAAACCGCTTATCTCTCATAACCTGCTCTCGACTACGCTGAAGTACACCCTCAATCATCTGGGCTATCTCCACAACCAGCTCATAAGAAGTCCCCATCTCAACCTCTCGGGACATAGTGTCCTGAATGCTAGAGTGCAAGCCAACAACAAATCTTCGTACTCTCTCCGCATCAGTAGGGAGTATCATAAGTGCATGGCGAGATAACTCAGAGAACCTCACCTCATAATCGGTCACTGACATCTGACCCTGCTGGAGCTGCTCAAACTGAAACCGCAACTCTTCCCTCTAGGAAGGTGGAATATACCTATCTAGAAAAATATGGGTGAACCTGTCCCAAGTCATGGGTGGAGCATCTGCTGGCCTGCCCAGAAGATAGGACTGCCACAACCTACCGGCCCTGCCCTCCAGCTGAAAGGTAGCAAAGTCTACCTCATGGGACTCCAATATCCTTATGTTATGCGGTCTGTCCCTGCACCGATCAACGAAGTCTTGGGGATCCTCATGTCGCTCACCCCCAAAGACAGGAGGATGTATCCTGGTCCATATGTCCAATAGATTCTGCGGCTCGCCGGCCGCAACTGGTCTGGGCTCAGGTGTAGCTGCTGCCATTGGCTGGGCTCCACCCACGGGTAGTGCACCCTGGGTCTGATATACAATAACTGCCTGCCCATGATCCTGTGCGGTAGGGGTCAGTGCTCCCCCTCCTGCCTGAGATGTGGCTGGGTCTACCGGAAATAAGCCGGCCTGAGTCATAGTGTCTATGAACCGCAGCATACGGCCCATGATCTACTACTCTGATACCATATTGTCACGATCCAATTTCACCTAAAAGTCATGATGGCGCCCAACATCACAGCTAGGTAAGCCAACTAGTGAATTAAACATATATTTCCTTTTTTTCATAAATTTCTGAGTAATTAAACTCTTCTTACTTGCAAGATTTAAGGAAAATATAAAAGGTTATAATTAAATAAAAATCAAGAAAATAATTCAAATCACAATTTTACTAGTGTGTGTGCCAAGAACTGGCGTCACAAGTATATAAGCATCTAGTAGGTTATACAAAAGAAATCCAAAATAATGTCTGAACACAAAATAGACAGAAAACAAATACAAAGGGAGACACTAGGTGTTACAGAACGGCTCAGGAGAAGTAGCTCACCACTAGGCCTCGGGATAGCGTTGGCGCTCACCGGTAGGACCACCTAAGGTTCCTGTCTCTGATCCTGCACAAAAAGTGCAGCAAGCGTAGCATGAGTACGTAAACAACGTGTACCCAATACGTATCAAGTCTAATCTCGAAGAAGTACTGACGAGAGGTCGACTTTGACACTCACTATGGGTCAATAATATTAAAATAAAAATATTTAAATAAACATGATTTATGTAAATAACAATAATTTGAATGGTTACTATTTTATGACTTGCGGGGATGGTTAGTTCAGGAATTTAAAGGGGTCCGGTTGAAATCGAAACACTCGGTTCCTTAGTTGGCTTTAAAAAGGCTAAATTTGAGAAAACGACCCCAGAATCGGGATTTGACGGTTCCAATAGGTTTGTATGATAATTTTGGACTTGGACGTATGTTCAAATCAGGTTTTGGACAACCCGGGAGTGTTTCAGCCCTTAATAGTGAAAGTTAGCTATTTGAAGGTTTTAAGGTTCTTTAAATTTGGTTTGGAGTAGGTTTTGGAGTAATTGAGGGCTGTATGGAATTCCGAGCCCGGGAGTAGTTCCGTATGATAATTTAAGACTTGCACGCAAAATTAAGTGTTATTCCGAGTAGTTTAAGTACGTTTCGGCACGTTCGGAGTAAGTTTGAATAATTTGAAAATTTTAAGTTGAATCAATTTGGTTTGGGGTATGATTCTTAGTTTTGATGTTGTTTGACGCGTGCTGAGGGTTCGACCGAGTCCGTTTTATGATTTCAAACTTGTTGGTATATTCGGGTGGGGCCCCGGGGGCCTCGGGTGTTAATCGGACGAGGCTCAGACCAAGTTGGAACTTGGGAGCAACAACTGAAGCTCCCAGCTTCTGGTGTAACCGCACCTACACAGGGACAGCCGTAGGTGCGAGCTCGCAGAAGCAAGCCACGAGCAGCAGAAGCAGCCAAGAGGGGGGTTGCCAGTGACCACAAAAACAGGGAAATGGACCGCACCTGCAAAGGCGCAGGTGCAAGGAAGGCAGCGTAGAAGAGAACGGAGGTCGCAGGTGCGACGCACGCACCGTAAAAGCGAGCCGCTGGTCGTAGAAGCGAAGGAGTCGGCTAGGGAAAGGACCACATCTGCGAGGTCTTTTCCGCATATGCGGAGCCGCAGATGCGATGGTTGAGTCGCAGATGCGTAAATCACAGAAGGCAGAACCTTCATTTAAGTCGGGGTTTGAGTACTTTTGACCCATTTTCTCCATTCTTGAGCGATTTTGGAGCTTCTCGAGAGGGGTATTCACCTAGCAACTTTGTGGTATGTTAATTCTACTTATTGTGAGTTAAATACATAGATTATGGGTAGATTTTAACATGTAAATTGTGAAAATCAAGGGTTTAGATTAAAAAAAATCTAGGTTTTGATAAAAATGAGATTTTAACCACGAAAATGGTTATGGAATGTGATGCAAATTGTATATTTGAGTTCTTAAGGCTATAGGTGACGATTTCTCCGAAAATTTCCGAAATTCGGGCACGTGGGCCCGGGATGAATTTTAAAAATTTTACCAATTTGGGTTGGTTAATTAATCTAATAATTTAATTTCGAATTATTGAGCATGTATTGATTAAATTATATAACATTTGGGTAGTTTCGGATTTTTCGGTACCAAATTGAGGAGTTAACGCGAAATTGTGATCGGGAAGTGAGTTTTGATACGAGGTAAGTCTCTTGTCTAACCTTGTAAGAGGGAATTTACCCCATAGGTGTTGTAAATAAATATTTATTTCTAATTGTAGGGGCTATGTACGTACGAGATAACGAGAGTTCGTGCGTAGCTACTATTATGCTATTGTTCGGGTAGTTTTAGGACCCAATTCATGAACTACTTGGAATTTTGCACTATAATTGTTAAATTAAAATGCCTAAATTATATTAGAACTTGTTAAGGAAATTTTGAAAGGTAGTTAATAAAATTTGTATTACCGTGGATATAAATCATTAATAATGTTTAAGTCAAATGCTTATAAAATATCCTTCTCTTCTTGTGGAGCTGGCCCAATGCCTTGGCAGTAGATAGATGTATCTATGGATCGTGTCGCACGTCCCTCGATAGTGTACACGTCACTCTGGATTGGACCGTACGACCTCGGCATAAATCGTGCTTAATAATAACAATTACACGATGCTTTGACATTTTATTGCAGCTTGTGAAGATAATTGATTTATTGGAAATTATTAAATTATGAAAGAATTATTTATTTCTGCTTGTTAAGGAAATTATTGTTATTCACATAAACCATGTTTATTTAAAAATCTTTATCTTAATATTACTGACCCATAGTGAGTGTCGAGGTCGATCTCTCGTCACTACTTCTTCGAGATTAGACTTGATACTTACTGGGTACACGTTATTTATGTACTCATGCTACGCTTGCTGCACTATTGTGCAGGATCTGAGACAAGTGCATCAGACGGTCTCACCGGTGCGCATCTCTGTTATCCCGAGGCCTAGTGGTGAGCTGTCTTTCTTGAGCCGTTCTGCAACACCTAGTGTCTCTCTTTGTATTTGTATTATGTCTATTATGTTGAGACAATACTTGAAATTTTGTATAATCTACTAGATGCTCATACACTTGTGACACTAGATCTTGGCACACGCGCTAGTAGAATTGCGGTTTGAAATTATTACTTTGGTTTTTATTTATTTAGACCTTTTATCCTTCTTAAATCTTGCAAGTAAGTAAAGTTTAATTACTCGGAATTTATTAAAAGAGTAAATATATGTTTAATTCACTAATTGGCTTACCTAGCAGTGATGTTGAGAGCCATCACGACCTATAAGTGAAATTGAGTTGTAACAGAAGTAGTATCAAAATATTAAACTAATTGACAAGTTAATAAAAAGTCACATTAGTAAATGTATACTTGCTAATTTGACAATAAGAATAGATATGAACAAATAATTTATTTGTTATTATATGATGTGTATCCTTTGAGTTTGTATAGATTTTGTTATATTTCTGCACACTATATTAAATAATAAAATAAAATTAATATTTATTAAAATAATATGATATATTAAATTATTATTTTATAAGATTAATATTCTGTCAAATTATCCGTGCATCGCGCGAGTTCTAACACTAGTTTCAGTTAAACTGTAAGCACCATACAACTACACTTCAATGATTTATTATACGCTATTTACAAACACAAGTAACTTGAGTCGAAAAGAATAAAATTTTCTACATGGAGGAACAAATAGGACGACTAACTTACAATTTAAAATTTGAACTTACTGCTATGAAAAAGAATGAAGTTCTCTTTGTATTTGTAAAAAAAATTAATTATTCGTTGTTTTGGGAGATATTAGCAAACTAGCGAACAAGATAAAAGAATTGTGATAGACCATAAATTAGGATTTTAATCAATAAAAGGTCTTGAATTTTAAATTTGATACATTTCAGTTTCTTTTTAAAACTTTTGAATAATTACAAGGTGACGTTTGAGAATTTGGGTATTATAAGGACTTATTTAACAAATTTTGTTTTAATTTTAAAAAGTCTCTGGGACTTACGCCTCACTACAAAAACGTGTCTCAAACGTACGGACGTACGCCCCAAATTGCTGGGCATACGCCTCTTGAGGCTTTCGCCCCACACCATCACCTCGGGACGGTTTTAGTACGCCTCACCCCGAAAACGTCTTTTAAAATACTGCTCAATAATATCGAATTACAAAGTGCTTCCATAAGGGATGGTTAAGTCCTAAATACAACAATATATACACGAACTAGCCAATTCAAGGCATCACTTGACCTTGCAAATTAAGATGATATAGTACATATGATTGAATAGAATATCAACCGATAGACGATAGTACCTATATATAGCTCTAGCCACATCTGCTTGAAACAACATTAGTTTCTCATTAGACTGTTAACCCCTCCTCGATTAATCTCACAGTTTTTCGAGGTCTGGTCAACTGGTCTAATCAATTTATATATTTCATTAGATGATGCATCAATAGAGAGTTACCCTTTCTTCTTTCAGTAACTATATATCTTCACTTCTCAAACCAAGCTCAATAAGGAAAAGGCAAGCTGCAAACATTCAACAAATTATAAATGAGTATAACGCATGACACATGAAAAGTGTTCAGTTGGGGTACGTTTGGAATTCAGTAAGTCATATATATAGATGCTTCTTTAGTTCCATTATGTTTGACACTATTTTCTTATTAGTTCGCTCCAAAAGGAATGATGCATTTATACGAGTATTTTGTTAAAAAAATAAGTTTCTATAGTCACACAAATGTTATGATATGATTAATACCACAAGTTTAAAAGGTCCTTTAGCCACACAAATTTTATGATATGTCTAAAACCACAAGTTTTAAAAAAATTTCGCTCTTTCTTAAATTTTGTGTCAAGAGTCAATTATGCCAAATGAATTGAAACGGAGGGAGCAGTATTTCACATACCCTAACTTGAGGCTAGTATCAGAGTCAATGTAATCGTGATGACTATTGACTAAGCTGCGATTGGTCGTGATAGAGTCTGCCGAATGTCCTCCCTCAATTGCATTATGGCCCTCAACTTCATTCAATCTTGCCTGTTGCATGCCAGAGATTTAATGATTTAGTAGTCACAGAAAAGGGAACTAGTCAAAACAAAAAAAAGAAGATAATAATGCAGATTTTACTTCTGATTGCTGTTTCAACTGTGAATTCTCTTCTAGCAGTTGAGCTTCCTGCATATCAAAAGCTACATATAAGGTGATAAAAGATGTTACTAAGCTAGTAAATCTCAGGAATAATAGAATTCCTGAGATTGGATTTCACTGTTTGGCTTATAGATTCTTTCATCAAGGAAAATTTAGAAGGTCAGAAAAATGAAAACTTTGAATAACCTAAAAAGCCATCTTTGTTTTCAAAAAGAAACTTCGTTACCGAAATTTAAAGCAAAATCGTCTTCCAGAAACCAAAGACAAACCAAGGTAGATTATCAGAACAACCATAATAAATATAAGGTTCTCCGTTTTTCCTCATAATCTCAATACATAAGCTTTCCCTATCAATAATAATTGTTTTCCGAAAACCTGATTTTTCAAAGACCAAATTCAAACTTCATTCAATAGTACATGATAAAATAAGAAAATATCCTTCTTTTCTTTAAGTAAGCGGCCTTGTGACCTGAGTTTAGCTTACACCCCTACCTTGTAAAGAAAGTATCCTAATTAAGAAATTAACAGAATCTAATGACAAAGTTGAGAAATACTCAAAGTTATGACTTGCCTTTTTCTTAAGGGAGCTGATCTCTCTCCTAAACTTGTCACCCTGAAAGGCACAAAAATCCCAAAGTTAATGGAATCAACGTATATTGTAGGACCAATCTCATTAGTGGAAAAGGAGGGGAAGTAGCTATAGGACCTTAATTTTCATGACACGACTTATTCCTCCCTCGACTATTTTCTCCAATTTCATTAATTCCTCCAAGCCAAGTCCTTGCAGCTCTTCTCCATTAAGTTGCCTAGCATAATAACTTAAATAAGTCATTTGCAATTTGATATTACAGTCAACCCTCTTTATAACAATCTCGTTTGTTCTGATAATTTTTGGTTTTTATAGTGAATGGTTGTTACACACCTATAATAGCATTTGATGTTTAAATAGTTTTTGGCAGTTATAAATAAAATTATCCAAAAATCAATTACTTTTCCTTTTTCAATGTTGCATATAAAAGATAAAAAAAGTTATTCAAATTTAAAATTTCAAAGATATGCATATTTCACTAGTTTAATATTGAAGAAAGCTAACACATTAACAATAAATTCATAATTAAACATATAAAGATTTAAACCCTAAGGCATACATTTTAAAGCTACCTAGAAAAATAAAAAATTTCAAGATTGATGGATGAATTTTGTAATTATAGTTTGTTTCGTAGATTTCATTCTCTTACTAGCGATATAACGCTTGAATTGGCGCATGTCCAAATTTTCAGCAAAAAGATATCTGATAGCTTTCTGTTGAAGACAATCTAAGAGCTTAACAATTAAATCTTTTGTCTAAATATTTTTTGAGAATTTGTCCAATGAAAAAGATATCATGTGCAAATCTTCAAACCTTATATCTTATGCAAGATAGAAACTTAGTTCAATAGAAAAGATTGTATACATGTTTTTAGAATTACTATTACTAATATTAAAGATTTTATATGGCTGTTATAGATGAGAAATTTTACAACGAGTGTTCTGCTATAATTATGGTTGTTGCTATAGGTAAAAAGTTGTTATAGAGAGGTAAAATATAACTTAAAAAATCTGTTCTGAGAAAAACTTAGCTTTTATAGTGAATTGCCGTTATATAGGGATATTATAGAAAGGTCTATTGTACTACAATTAGGTAAACTTTGGCAGCAGTAAGGTACATCTAATGGCGATGGTTCTTACTAATGGAAAATATTTGAGACTGAAGTACTAATTAGTAGAACTCTTAACAAATGATAATAAAACGCAACAATTTATATAAAAAAAAAAAGAAGAAGAAGAAGAAGAAGAAGAAGAAGAAGAAGAAGAAGAGATAGAGTTTTGGATGTAAAACGTATGCAAAGGCACGCTATGGAAGGTGTTCTGTTCATATTAGTTTTCCATCACTGCTATAGTGCAAGAGCAAAATGACATCCTACTCCCAAAATACAATTAATCACTTAGGAATCTTCGAATGGGCACTTAAATAGAAATACAAAAGAACTCTTAAATTTTCAATTGTTTTGTAGAAATTAGAGCGAGAGAAGAAAAGGGACCCTGGAAGGGAGTGAAAAGATGAAGTGCTAAAAGATGACAATCTCAGGATTTTATAGATTATATTTTCTTGGTGATAAGATAGGGTATATTCATAGAGAGTGAAACATATAAACTCGACCTTCTATAGAGTCCGAACAGTGAAATTGTACAGATGACTGAAATTGCAAATGTGCAAATTCTACATTGTTTAAGGGAAGCCAATCAAGTGGCCGACTATTTGACTAAGTTAGCCTCGTCAAGTGAAAATAGTACTTTCTATACCTCTTTTAATCAACTTCCTAAAGAAGCAAAACGATTATTTCAACTAGACAGATGGCAACTTCTCAGCATTAGAAGAAGATACGACAAGACTAACTTTTTGTTAGTTGACTTTGTATATACTTTTTTAATGGAAGAGTATAAGTATAGATGTAACTCTACCTTTCTTTTGTGTTGGAGGTTAGGTCTATGTCCCCATCTAGCTTTGTACTTTTTTTTGGTATATATTGGCATGGTAGGGGTCAAGCCAAACCCCCATAACCAAAGGTACCTTGCCGGAGGTTAATGGCTTAATTTATAAAATAAAAATAAAAATATAGAGTCCGAACATATCTCTTCATTAACGAAGAGTGTGACCACCGATAATCAGATAATCTTTTCGGAAAACATTGTACATTTTTAATAATAAACACATTAAATTTTGAATTACTCGGAATAAATTAAACTAACAATTACCTCAACTCCCGGTTCTTCTCCGCAAATTCCCTACAAAGCATTCCACAGTTTTTCTTCTCGCTCTGGAAAATGAAAGATTTGCTTCTTTTTAGTAAGGTAGATTGAAATTAAGATCAACAAGGCTTGTCTTTTGTATACATTTCATGATCACATATTAACCCCACACCAACACATACGACGCGTGGAAGCTCGGTTGGATGAATTAATTAAAAAAAGGAAACTCTTCATGCGAGAAAGGCTTAGATCGGGACTACAACTTCTAGTATTCCTTTTCTATCTCAAGTTTATCAACAAGACTCTAAGAGCGCGTTTGGATATAAGAAATTTTTTTCTTTTATTCAATTTTTTTTTCTTTTTTTCAAAATCAGCGTTTGTTCATAAAATTTTCAATTTTCACTTGAAAATGCATTTTGAAATTTTTCGAAATTTTGAAAAACTCCAAAAAACTGTTTTTCAAAATTTTCACTCAAATTACTCACAAAACTTCAAAAACAACCCAAAATTATATTCATGTCCAAACACAACTCTTTCAAATATCATTTTCACTTGAAATTCTTTTTTACTTTTTTTTTTTTAATTTTACAATTCTTATGTCCAAACACCCACTAAGAGTATATAAGAATAGTACCGAATATAGTAATATTAGGATTAGTAATGCTGAGATTAGTTATACTGGGATAATTTCTTATTAACTATTTGGTTTGATTATTATAAAGTTTTTGAAATAACAGTTACGTTCTATCTAATGACATGGTATTGCTAATGTCATGGTTTGCTATGTATAAGAATAGTACTGAATATGGTATATAACTAATGCAAGTATTAGTTATATATAAGTTGAAAAACATTAGAAAACAATGGAATAATAATATCAAAACTAATACATGTATTATTTTCCCTAATATATCCTACCAAAACCGCAAGGCATATTCTTCAGTACATAAGATTATTGTCAATTAATGATATCAGAGTAGCAGAGACAATGGTATTACCTGAAGGTTAGAAAATTGCAGTTGGTCTGGACTATCCATATCCCTTTCTGAGTGAACCTTGTGCTTTTCAATCAGTTGCATCATACTGTGCAAGGATATATGACAATAACACACAATCAACTACTAAAAGTAGAGAAGATCACATATACATGAACAATTAGATTCGACTCTCACAAACCTGGGAATTGAAGTGTTTATGCCAATATTTATATTATTAACCATGGAGTGTGTTCAATACATATACCACAAAGGAAAATAGACATTTAAGCATCTAGTACCTACGAATGCTTGAAAAATGAATGAGAAAAAACTAACAAAAGTTCTATAGCTTAAAACATCATATTCAAGTTCTCTAATTTAGTTAAAACAATATCCAATATTACTGGATCGATTAATTTGGATTCGCGCAGCATAGGCCCATTAAAGGGGAAGCAGTGTGCCAGTGACATGAATATATAAATCATTTAGCACCTTTTGTGTATCAATGACAAACTCATTAACAATATCCTATTTTATACTCCTCTTTTTAACCTTTTCGAATTATGTGGGTCAAATTGACTAATTTCTGAATTCGGACGTAGATTCTTTAAGGTTTTTGAAATAAAATTTACATACTTAAAAATTACATAAAAAACAATATAAGTCACAGTAGTTAAAAATTCAAAATATTAAAAAACTATTTGCAAAAAATATGATTAAAAACCCTTATTTGATTCCCTAAGTAGTAATATAGGTTATTCTTTTTTAAAACGGGGGAAGTACGTCATTATTGTTATATCATATAGTTTACTATATTGTTATAACTAGTGTATTAAAAGGCATTTTTGGGACTCGCCTCGGGGAGGGGCACTATCAAAATACCTTGAGACTCATGTGTGATGCTTAGTTCTGTGAGATTTATGCCCCCAAGCGCCCCACTTGCGCCCTAAACGCGCCTAACACTCAACGCTTGGGACTTGCCCCAAAGTTCATATGTAAATTGGACATGACAATCAGTCCGAATCCAAGCAACACCCATGGAACCCACCCAGCGTAAGGAAAAATATGGCACCAACGGATGTGGCCATACCCAGAAAAGAAAGTTGGCCTAACTCCAGTTTGTTTGATGAAGTTGAATAGTAAAAAATCTTTGGGCGAAAGGCAAATAGGGCTCATCCTTGATTTCATGAAATGCTGTGTTGAATTCACTAATTAGCACTGCTGACTCTCAAAATTCTTCAACAAATGAATGATTAAAGTTCTTTTTATATATAGGAATATGAAAAATGTGAATAACTCAAATAACAAACCATAGTATTACATATTTACTAATTGAGAATATCGTGACGGTGAATATCATTTGAATTTTTTTTTTGAAAATAAGTAACCAAAATTTATATCCTTACTTGAGAGATCTTCATGTCTTAGTTCTATGTCTCACTAAATTATCATATATTTATTATTTTATTCTTTAAAAATAATTTTATATTTATCATGAAGGAATAATATTTTAAATTACAGTGTTGATAAAATTTATTGAGTATTTACTTTTAAAGAGGTAAAATATGCAGCTTGATAATATTTTTTAAGAAATTATGATTTTAAATCCTTTGAAAGTTAAAACATTGTAATAAATTTATATTTCATAGTAACTTTAACAGTATTACATTATTTATACTTGTAAAACAGGGCACCTCACACCCTTGCCTTTTAAGACACTGATTATTAACAAAATGAGAATCTTAAGATGAACGCTTTATCTGTTTTTGTAGTAATTTTTATGAGCTCGGAGTTAATTGAGTTTCTATTTTCCCTTTTAAGCGTTGATAACATCTAAAATTTGCAGTTGAATCTATTGCTGATTTGATTAATCTTTTTAAGGGAAATATCAAGCTTCTAATCACAAGAGCTTTACTGAATTCCGTTTTTTTTTTTTCCATTGTGCTTAAATGATCATAATTCATATATTCTTGTCTTAACCGAGAGGGCGAAACACTAGTCTTCCACATACTTGTGATCATATATACTAATATATGTTGCATAGAGGGTCTATTCGTGTGATCCAGGATTAATTAATCATCCATCTCCCACATTTAAGGCGCTATAATAACTTGAATATTTGTATAATTAAGAGAAATACACTTAGTGCACAAGGTTATATATAGTAGTTGAGGGTAATCGAGAGAGGCGCCTATTGTGCGAACTTTCCAAAATGTTGATGCATCCTTGTCTGATCCTCCAAAAATGCAATAAGTTTGGAGGATCCGACTTTGGAGGATCCGATACATATTCAACAATATTTCTGAAAAATCCGAGCAATACAGATTCCATATAAAATTGTTTGGAATATTTCATCTATCACTCAACTATGAAAGGGATAAGTGCCCTTAACTATCTTGCTGGAGAGTGGTGACTATATAATTAGCACCAAGTGCCACCTTTGCCAATTCTGAACGCATATAAGCCAACTCTTGGTCAACCCACCGCCTCGGCCTAACAGTTGCCCTCGCCTAGATCTCAAGTATTTTACCATCTTTGTTTTTTCTTTTCTCCTTAACCTGGACACTTTTGAGGCTTCATTTTTGGCGGCTTAATGCATGGATCGTTCAATTGTTAACAACTTTAAGTAGGACTTTTTATATCACATCTAATTATTATTCTATGTGTTGGGATATATACTATTAACCATAGATTTTGGTTTAGATATAATATTTATTATGGAACAATTGTTTATTCAATTTTAATAAAGTTTTAAATAGATCATATATTCGTTTGTCTCATTTTCTTATATAGTAAATAATTTAGTGTATAGAGCTTAGCTTACACACGGAAGATTAAATCATCGGTTCTTATAAATATAAAGATCATGTTCATAATCTAATGATAGAATTGGACAAACCATCAGGAATTATTGTAGCACAAGATTAAATATAATTTATCTTGATTATGGGAATGGTTTAATTCTGACTTCTTGTGCTATTACATTTTATATGTATTGAACGGACCAAATAGAGATAAGTATTTTATACCGACTTAATAAAATAATTTCTCTAGCCACTAAACGTAATTATACTCTTAATCTTGATATAATTATTATTATTATTTGTGTATATCATTTATTGTTTTAATTTACTAAAAGGCGAGATTCTTTTATGGGTCAATATGCGTGGTAAATTGGACAATGATGATATACATTGGCGAAATAATAGTTAATTGAATAAATCCATATCTCGGTCTAGAGATTGATGATACACCTTTATGAAAGCTTATAAGTTTTCATGTGTAAACCCTGTAGGTGAATTTTGTATCTGTCACATGAAATAAGTTAAGTGAAAGTCTAAAGAAAATAATCAATGAATTAAATTATCAGTAATTTAATTTATTAGATTAGTACCTGAATCTTAATATCGGGAGTTAAATAAAGTTTAATGGAAGAATTTCGAAATTGAACTGAGGAGTGCAGTTACGAATTTTTAGTGGAATAATTCGTAATTTATTATGCTAATATTAATTCGGATATTTTGAATTAAGTTCATAATAGGAAGCCTCGGTAATTAAATATTGCGGTCCCTGTGTCCGAATAATTAAGAATTAAATGGAATCATATTTTTTGGTGAAAAAGGAAGACCCAACAGGTTTAGGAAAAGGTTTTAAACCCTAAAACCTGTGGCTATATAAAGAGGTCTTACTCTATAAAGAGGCTATGGTTCGCCCACACGAATTTTGCTAATCCGGGCATTATTCGGGTCATACAACAGAAGACTGTGGAACTGAAGGATGATCGTGTGGATAGTTTTGCTCATACTTGAAGGCTCTTTTCGCGATCGTGGTCACATTTCAAGAGATAAGTAGCGATTTTACGTTTAAATAAATCTGTGATTGTATATTGTTTATATTACATGCAAGTGATCCTCGCTATTTGCTTCTGATATTTATACCTATTTTTATCAATTGGTATCAGAGCCAAATTGCATCTATCAATTGGTATCAGAGCCAGATTGCATCTAAATAGATAACGTAAAATATACATATGCGAAATTATGTATGAATGTCGATTGTTGATTGGAAAATTAAGCAAAAGAAAGAGAAAGAAAAAAGAAGGGTACTGGTTGGTCGGCTACTGAGGAAAGGCCGTAGAAAGCCCGATCAAGTAATCTATTGGGATTTCTCAAAAGTTTATTTTTTTAATCAACAAACAAAGGATAGAAAATATATGCTTGCTATTTTCTTGGTTGCTGCAGCGAAACAATTCCTTGTTTCGTTGAAAGTGTATTTTGACTTTTGACCAAAATTTTACCATGTGAAAATATTTATTTAAAAAGGTAAGTCCTTGCTGGTGACGCAACATCTTGGATTTTTAATCAATGTGAAGTGTTCATTCTTCATGTGACTTCTATATATTTCGGTTGATCAAAATCAATTATTACCATAATTTGGTTTTTTCTGTTGTAGCTCGCTAGAAATTGTAAAGTTTTGGTAATTTTGAAGGTATGTGAAGTGTTTTAATCAATGTGAAGTGTTGATTCCTCCTTTTTTCCTCATACGTATATAATAATATTATAGATTGAGAATAAGCACTCCTTGCTATGCAGTGAATCACGTAATTTTTGGGCGTTTTGAGGTTGTTTAGAAGGGTTTTAAGTAGATTATTGGATTAAACGAGTTTTAAATATGAACATCTACTCCTTATATATCGATTTTATTTGTGTTAAATCTGAAACATGATCACACATAATGATTTAACTCAATATGATATATGGAAAGAATTTAAATCACATAAATTCGCCTGAAGAAATTAATCTGAATTTGGTCATAGTTTTGGTAATCATTAATTTTACGATCTCTGATTGACTTGAAATTTGATGGATTCATCGAAAATGACCTGATAAGAAATACTCACTGTTATGCAGTGAAATATATCATATTTCGGTCAATTCGAGGTCGTATAGATGGATTTTTTTGGCGGTTTGCGGGAATAAAATATGATTTGAATATGAAAAGTCATTCTTTATGTTGGTTTTATTTATGTTAAATCTGAAATATAATAGCACATGTTGATTTAACATAAATTGATATATGACAAGAATGCACCTCATATTTTAAATT